GTAACTGCCTGCTTCTGAAAGGAGCAATAAATCACTGTGACCACTTGGGGAATTCTTCACTAGCCACACAAAGGTTATCAGTAATTAAACTACAGGGACTCTAGATTTAGGGAAGGAGATCTAACAGGTCACTAATGACCATGAAATAGGAGGTGGAGCTTAGCTCTTGCCATTTTGCCGGGAAATCTTTCTGATTCAGAATTGAACCTATTTTACTTCATTAAAAGCACCTAAATAAAGAATAGAACCTCCCATTCTTGTGAATATGCATAGGAAATATGGATAACTGACAGGTATCCAAAGCTGAATCTCCAAGGTGTAATATATTTCCAGCTTTGGCAGACTTTGTTGTGTAATGGGTTTTTGCCCTCTACTGTAAAGTAAGATCAGACAGTTGGTGGTATTATTTGAAAGGATTCAGCTCTCTTATTTATTGACCAATTTCTCTGAAAACTGGCCAGAATGCGTCTCAAATGTGTGTTCACAAAACCGTATCTCGGATTTTTGATATCTTGCTCAGTTCTCGAATTACTGGGGGAAATGTAGAATTAGGCTAATAAATTGGTAACATTGAAAGACAAATGGATGTAACTTTTGAATAAGAAGATTTATCAAAAATCTAAGATACGGTTTTAAAGTTCAATCTTTTATCTACATTGAGGCAAAATTTTGACTTTGAGAGGTGGAATACAAAAAAGTTGATTTATAAAATATAAATGCACTAATATTTACATTCAAATATTAATAATTTTTTAATAAGATAAAAATGAAAATTAAAATTAGGATCATTAAATAGTGAATTTAATAAGCTTTCAAATGATATATACTTTTAATATGTTATCTTTGTTAATGAAAGAATTACAAGCAAATTAAATTTTGCACTTTGGAAACCTTTGGTGTATCCTTAAACGCAAAACTATGCATTTAATCGCAATAATCATTGCGTTTAAATGCAAAACACTTTGCGATTAATCGCTATAATTATTGCATTTAATCGCAATATTATTGCGTTTAAACGCAAAAATTATTGCGATTTAACGCAATATTTATTGCGTTTAAACGCAATAATTATTGCGTTTATTCGCAATAATTTTTGCGTTTAATCACAATAATATTGTGATTAAATGCAATAATTATAGGGATTAATCGCAATAATATTGCGTTTATTCGAAATAATTTTTTGCGTTTAATCGCAATAATTTTTTGCGTTTAATCGCAATAATTATTTGCATTTAAACACAGTTATTTGTTGCATTTAAATGCAATACTCTTTGCATTTTTTCGCAATAATCCTTCCTTGTAAGGATCATTTTGCATTTAACCACAATGATTCAGTGCTGTAGTTTGAAATCAAACATCAGCTAGCCAAAAATTATTATGAATATTATGGTCTGATTCTTTAAAGAACCGTTTGGTTCTGTGTCTTTTTGTAAAATGTCGCAGTGTGTGAGATTTGAAGTTAAACAATGGCATCCTAAGTAAACAACCAGAGTTTCTTAAACCTGTTAGAATCCAACACTTTTAAAGCAGCCATTAATCAATTTCTTAGGTATCACAGCAAATCAAAAATGTTTCAGTGGTATTAATAGCCATATCAATTTGGTAGTACAAATCGATCAATCTGTTTTCATATGGTTTATTTTTGATTTCATATGATTCCATCTCCTAAATTTTCGTGTTCTCGTGTTTACTGTATGTGATCAAAGGAAAGGTTGTGAATATACAGGAATATAGATATCTATACATGCTAAAGCTTTGTTTCATTCTAAGGTTGTCTTTGTTTTAACTGACTGACACGTCTTTCTTCTCTTTAAATCCATACCAATGAATTAATAATTCAGAAAATGCTTGTTCAGAAGAATCTGATTCTATAATGCTTAACAATACACAATTCTCCTCATAGGTTAATGTACAAAAGAAAAAAGAAACGAATATTAACGTGGATCCACTGCACTCTTCAAAAATCAATAGAAATGATTGATTATTGCGTTTAAATGCAAAAAAATATTGCAATTAAACGCAAAAATATTGGCTTTTAATCGCAATATTATTACGTTTAATTGCAAAAAATTGCGTTTAATCGCAATCTTTTGTGATTAAACGCAAAGTGTTTTGCGTTTAAACGCAATGATTATTGCGATCAAAGGCAAAGTTTTGCGATTAAACGCAATAATTATTGCATTTAAACGCAATAAAAAATATTTCTTTCTCTGAACTGGCCTCAACGGGCTTCTGTAGACCAAGTTACCAGAAAATAATATTTTTCAAAAGTAAATATATTTTTAATTTATGAACTTATTTTACTTGATGAAAAACTGTTCAACCTCCATTTATATAAAAGAAAAAAAATTAAAGAGATACATGTACACGTCTTACTTTACCAGTCAGATCTAATTAATTATTAATTAGAATTTGTGTCTAGTAAGTTTCATTCATACTAGTAATGGAAGGATGGTAATAATACTTCAACAAGAAAGTGTTTGTTAATTTGTTAATGAAGGAATTAATACCAGGGGTAGTTGCAAACATTGCAGAAAAAATATATAATCCACATAAAGCAGGATATATTTTTTCTACAATGGCTGCAACCACTTATATCTGCGTTGCTTTTCATTCAAACATATAAGACACAGAAAAAGATGTTTTAATTTCTGGAATTTAATGATGTGAATATCCCCACATGTTAAGTATAAACAGAAAAGAGACAATGCATTGAAAATTTTAATGTCTAAATTAAAATGTATATAATCCGTTATTGAAATATTGAATAATATATTATTGTGTAAAAAAAAAACCTGCAGTCACATCCCATTTTGAACACCTATAGACAATATACAAACATACATGCATTTATGTTTGACACTGTATCAAGAAACAGGGAGTTTAATATTCATTTCCTTGCAAACCTCCTTAATACAACTAAGTAATGTATGAAAGTCCTCAGGAAATAGCTGGCCAATGGTCCCAATCCTGAAACAGTCTGCATTCAACACCTTTCCAGGGTATATCACCAGGCCTATAAAAATGAAAGAGGTTCTACATTTTGGGTTTTGAAACAAAGCAAATGGTTTGATTGTTCTTTACACTATTGTCTACAATGAAATGAAGTCAGTTCAGGGTTATCCTTCAGCTCAGATTGGCCTGGGAATTTCCCCACCTATATACATGTATAGTGAAGTTATTTCGAAATTCTTCTTCAACTTTCTGTAAGAGTAGGAAATCCAGATCCCCTTCTACTTTCTGAATTAAAATTCAATCAGGGGATATAAAGTATATCAATGACTTCTTTGGTCATCTTTTGTCTGTTGTCCTTTAATTTTCAGTCTCCCCAAAGAAACTATACTGAGAAAATGTTAGCCAAACTTTAGATTGACTGTTATAGGGCTGGATATCTGCTTGGAAATTTTGTAATGTGATACACTGAAAATATCTTCACATTTCAAAGCTATATTCCTTGTCACAAGACATTCTTTTGGATACCAATGATTTTGACCTTGGAGTTTCACCTAATTTTGAAAAACTTTAAACCATCGCCATAACTTATGAATAGTTAGTGCTATGGCTTTTATATTTTGCAGGTGTATTTCTTATGACAATGTCTTCCACTGAGTACCATCAATTTTGACCCTTTGACCTTGACCTTGGAGTTTGACCCCTTTTTATGAGAAAACATTAACCTTGAACATATCTGTTGAGTGGTTGATGCTTGGGTTTTCATATTTACAAAGTATATTCACTGACACAGGCCCTTTCCTTAGATAACAATATTTTTATGCCCCCGTAATCGAATATTCAAGGGAATATAGTTTTTGTCATGTCCGTCCATCTGTCTGTCTGTCTTTCTGTCTGTTTGTCCGCAAAAAACTTTAACCTTGTCCATAACTTTTGATTTAGTGAAGCTATGACTTTCATATTTCACAAGTGTATTCCCTGTGACAAGACCTTTTTTTGGGTGCCACCAAATTTGACCTTTTGACCTGGGAGGTTGAACACTTTTACACTAAAATTCCAAACTTTTACTTTGGTTATAACTTTTGAACAGTAGATACTATGACTTTCATACTTCACATATGTATTGTGACTTTCATTGGACACCAACAACTTTGACCTTTTGACCTTGGAGGTTTCCTTATTTAAAAAAAAACCTTTAACCTCTGTCATAAATTTCGAACGGTAAGGGCTAGGGCTTTCATACTTCACAAATGTAATCCTTGTGAGAAGACCTTTCATTGGATACCAACAATTTTAACCTTTCAACTTGAAGTATGACCTACTTTTTTAATAACAAACCTTGACTATAACTTTTGAAGGGTTGGGACCATGGCTTTCATACTTCAGATATGTAATCCTTGTGATAAGACCTTTCATTGGATACCAACAAATTAGACCCTTTGATCTTGACCTTGGAGTTTGACCTACTTTTTAAAAACTTTAACCTTGGCCATAATTTTTGAACGGTTAGGGCTAGGGCTTTCATACTTCAAATATGTAATCCTTGTGACAAGACCTTTCTTTAAAAACTAACAACTTTAACCCTTTGACCTTCTCCACTACATTGCCATAAGGGGGCATCAGTGTTTTGCAAACACATCTTGTTTATATCATAGCCCTGATCTTGGAGTTTGACTTGCATTTGAGAAACTTTAATCTTTGCTATAAGCTGCTGTATGGGGGCATCAGTGTTTCACAAACACATCTTGTTCTCTAAATGATTGAAAGTAAGCTCCCAGCAGTACATTCTGTATTTTGATTTGACTTTGAGGAAAATGTTTGTAAAAAATGTTTGAAAGTTCATCTAAGTCAAATAGTAAATAAAAGTTGAAGAAACCAGTGATCCCATTTTCAGAACAGTAATGAAGTCAAAGATACAAAATTTAGATAACTTTATTCCTGGTCATTACTTAACCATCAATGTAGGGTGCAATGACTTCATAAACATTATGGGTAGTTTAATTGTTATTTGTGAACTCTGATTGCACTGTTCTGAAAACAGGACATTTGGTAAACAGATTATTTAACCCTCTATAATAGCTTCCCAGCAGAATGTCTTATTTAATAAACTGTAAATATTGAAGAGATCTATGGGCCACAATGCTCACCTGATATACTTTGGCCTATATGTTTCTTCATAAGTAGATTCCTGTCCCTACATATTTTGATTTAATATCAATATCAACTTTTATGTCCCCAACCACCAAAGGGATCACAATATGAACACATTTCAATCTACACTACCTGAGGATACGTCCATTAAATATGACTGATCATGATTTTGAAAGATATTTCCTATATATTCCAATGTAAAAGTTTGACCTCTTGTCGTGACCCCCTCCTATTCCCAAGGGTCAAAATATGAACAAATTTGAATCTTAAGTATGAAGCTGTAATTAAGTTTCATCTTTTCTGACCCTGCGGTTCTCTCAAATTATTTCTCCTTGAAAGAGGGTGTGGCATTTACTAGTAACATTTAAATATGCTTTGTGGCAAGTTTGAAAATTGGCCCAGTGGCTATTGAGAACATGTTGAAAAATGTGTTAAGTTTACAGCGACATATGACAGACAGACACCAGACTTTTTCTGATCAGAAAAGCTCATTTTGGCTTTTGGCTCAGGTAAGCTAAAAACTTTTTCAAGGTCACAACATTTTTTTCTCAACTTCAATCAAAATTTTGGCATAATGCATTTTAGTCCATTACCATGTTACTCAAATTTATTTTCGCTTTTTTTGTTTTATAATAAATTTTCAAAACTATGTCTTTTAATGTAAACAATGCATTTCAAATAATGTAATCTGCTGTCTGTTTAATTAAACAATCATGTCAATGTGACGTCAAACATAAATAAATTATAAATATCCTTACATATAAGAAAAATATCTTGAAGAAAATTATCATTATGTACTAGTCTCTTTTTAGCGTGAAGTTTTGGACGGGTGTCTCATGGTACCCCAAAAATGACCAACAGAGAGACATTGTCCAAAAAGCATGTCTATTATATCTTAAATCAGAAACACTGATTTGATCATTTGAACATTGATTCCAAATTCATTTATCACATAATTTTGGTACAAAATCTATCACAAGAGGTCCACAGGCTGCAGTGTGCATCTGGGTCAATTGGCCCTGCTGTTCAGCAGCAGATTTTTTCACCTTTTTTTTCATGAAAAATTTGAACTCTTTTGTCCCAAAAGTTTAATACGATTTATCCAATTGTTTTAATTCAATTTGATAGACATGGCCTTGCTGTCTGTATGCTTTATGCAAAATTCCCCCTAACTTTCCATAACCACATACCCTAACACCTGTAAAGACTACTCTCTAAATATATGGAATATAAGGATAAAAGGAGTGAGACACTTTTGATTTTGGGATCACTTGGTCAAAATATACTTTTAAACTTTTGATCAATTGATTCCAAAATCAAAATTGTCTTTCTCCTAGTAATCATACATTCCAAATATTTAAAGAGTAAGTTATTATTTTGTAAGAAAGTGTTTTCATGATGGCAACTATTGTTCTTGGCCTTTGACCAAAGCAGCCCCAAAAGTTAACCATGTTCTGATCTCTTCAATAAAGGTCGTAACTATGAAGTTTGTTAAATCACAAAGACTTTTTGCACCATGTGAATGTGTTAATGGATAGATGGATGTAGTGATCACTATAGGCACCTGCATTTTAATGCCAGCCCTAATAATTTTCAAAATTTCAAATATTTCGAAACAAACTCAAAGAAAAATAACATAGAACTCCAAACAGCTTTGCCAATGATCTCATTCCACAACTTTTCCTTTAAATCAAATACATGTATAAATGAGATCAACAAAAAAGTGAGATCAATGTGGCAAAATATTCTAAAGTGTTAACAAACTTTACCAGTCAACTTTGCATCTACAAGACATACATAAAAGGGCTTTAAAAATTGTAAAGGATCTAATTTTAAAAACTGATTTGAGAAGATTACTCTGGTTGTGAGTAAAATGGAGACTCACCTTTTTCATTTAATTTACTGTAGAAAGTTTTAAAGTCAAAGTTAGGGTCATTAGGGAATTTGTATGAGGTGATGATATAGCCTTTATGTTCTGGGCCAAGGAATTCTTCAAATCCCAGCTTCTTCATTCCCTCTTGTAGTATTCTCCTGTTCTCTTTATATCTGAAAAACAAATACATGTAAAAATGATTCAGTCATTTATCCTGTGATCTTTATCTTGAGTAGACATAAACACATTTATTTTATGACCTATTTGTATTCATAATTCACAAACTTTAGGCCCTTTTCATAATGCTTTTATATCATCCTTTAATCACCATAAAAATGAATTCTTTTGAAAATTTACCCTAAGGAGAAATACATAAAAAAATTTTAAGTTCTACAAGGAAGTTTTGTTTTAAATACTAGCTCTGAAAATATTCAGTGGTCATACTTGAAAGAATGTGAGGCCCGTGTGCCACAACACTCACTGGATTGTCATTTATGGTCCACCCATTTTACAGGGGTCATTTGAACAATCACATTTATTCATGCTTTGCTGCTCTTGAGTAGAAGAGTTTAATGAAGACTTTTCCCTATTGAATCCCTTTAATGGCTCCACCCTACCCCAAGGTACCATGACCTGAACAAATTAGAATCCATACAAGCTCAGGAAGCTTTAAGATATTGAAGTTACATTTTTTCTGGCCCAATGGTTCTTGAGAATTTTTTTTAAAAAGTTTTCCTTTATATATCAAAAAAGAACACTTAGATCTGCAATAATAAAACACTTCCACAAAATATACACAGGAAGATGAATGGAACCTACATTTCTGAGTATATCATTAGTTGTTTGTACTGCTTCTCAATAAAACATAAATGTGACGTGTGTTATTTTATTGAAAATTTATTGCCAGACCTTATCTGCAATATCTGAAATACAGTTCTCCCATTACACATTTTTTGTGCACATATTTTATCATGAAGTGATTCTGATATTTATAACCTTCTACATGAGAAATTATGATCAAAACTCATGTTGGTTCAGGTGTACATTAGAGTGCTTTTGCTGATATCACATAGTTTGTTTTTGCACCAACTTTTTTTTTTAATTGCATGTTTATAACGTTCAGTTGACACTAAGATTACTTATTGCCAATGTTATCTCTAGGATCCTTAACGTTTACCTGTATATCCTGTTATATTACATTTCAGCATTTTTAATATTTTCATTTGTGTTGGATTATAATGAAATAAAAGTGGAAGCTTAATGTGTTGAACATAGACTTAGTAATAATGAAACATTTATGAGCTTTGTATCAGTTGCTCACAGATTGCATATGAGTATGAGAAACTACAGATACCGTGAGCAACTCTTAAAATCATACACTTCCTTGTGATTCAAAGTACCTACACACTGGCTTCTACATGTAACTGTGACCTTGAACTTGGCAAAATGACCTTGGTTTAAAAAACAGATAGATCATCTGGTCATAAGTAATCTTTGTCTAAAATATTTATATCCCATGTTTCCCCACTAAGAAGTTATTGATATGACATGATTTTTTATTACTTTATTGCAAAGGCTCAATTAGAACTAATTTTTATAAGTTATCCCTTGGAAATAATTTTATGAGTTTTACCTCAAAATCAACAAACCAGGTATGTCTTCTTAAAGTCAAATTAAATTCTATTGCAAAAACTCAAGAAAACTGGATTATCATCTGTGACAATTTTATGCAATACATAAGTTTCCAACTTCGACCCTTTGACCTCAAAATCCATAGGGCCAAGTCTTGCAGTCATAGGGATTTATGATAGAAAAATTTCATTGCAGATACAATGATAGGTAAACCCAAATTAACATCCTCTGCTTTTAACCAAAGCAGGCAACAAAAAGAGGAGGCCTTGCATTACAAACCTGTTAGCTCTTCCCACAATATCGCCTTCTTCCTCAAACTCTTTGATAGCCTGACAGAAGGCCAGCATGCAGTGTGTGGGGGGAGTAAATCGGAACTGTCCCGTCTTCTCTAGACCATCATACTGATCATACAGGTCCAAACACAGACTGCCAGAGTTACCTGTAATTCAAAGTCATACTGATCATACAGGTCCAAACACAGACTACCAGAATTACCTGCAATTCAAAGTCACCGCTAGTAAAACATTTGTTTATAAATTTCAAATGCTCAAAATATCTTCCATAAGAAACTCCATATATTCCGAAATTGTATGATAAAATTATATCATTTTCCTCTTTTATATCTGTTCATGATTTTTTTTTCTATATAGCATTATATAGCAATTTTATGAATTATCTTAAATAATGTTGTACTCCTTGGGTGGCTAAAAAATTGTCAAAAAACAGCAATAATTGTTTATCAATATTCATACATGTACTAATACATGTAGATTGTAAGCTGTCACAATATAATAGACTTGGCTATATCAACAAATCCTTTCATGATATAAATGCAAATTTTTATATAATAAACGAACTTAAAGTGCGATTTTCACTTTCATGTTAATTTAAAAACCTATTTCATAGCAGGAAGTTCCAAATGTGGCTGAATGCATTATGCTGTATTATAATTAAAATTTTATGAATTTCAGTTATCAGACTTCATCAGCACTTCAAATCAGATCAGGCTGGTACAGATTCCATAAAACTCAAACTTATATCCTGCAAATCAATCCAATAAAACTGTTTTTTTCATTCACATGTTTTTCCTCCAATGAAAATCAAATGAAGCTATACATTTTCTTATGTTTGTTCTATTGAAAAGGTCTATACACAATGAAAATTGGGAATGTAAATTATTGAATTTATTTTATGTGTGCCAGGTACATGTAGCTGCATTATGCAACTAATGATAAACAGGTTTTTTGTTTTGATGCTTGATGCAAATTATTCTTTAATACTTCCTTCTTCTCCAACAAACACATACTACAAAGCCTTTGGTTTCTATTAAAGTACATACCCTACACATATCACCAAAAACCAGACAAAACCTGAAACCAACACCTCTAAGTTAATTCTATCCATGATTCTCACAAAGAGATTCCTTTGAGATGATCATCTTTAAAACAACTGTACATGACTGTGTAAATTTCTCCTATTAAGGTCTCTTTGTGCAAACTTGAAGTGTTTCTCTCCAGTTTTGATTTTGCATTTGTTTATTAACACAGGTGCTAGGACCTCTGTATACCATTTAGGTTTGTCAGAAATAAATACTTGTGACACCAAAATTTCCAATGTTTCTTAAAACTACTTGATAAAAGAAAGTGACATGTGTCCAAGAAATATATCAGACATACACCCCAAAATATTCAACATTCCATATATTATGACATCATGTGTAGATCGGTAAACAACTTATAATTTTGCACTTTCTGTAAACAATGTTTTACCTAAATCTGGCACCCTAGTTGGAGAAATCTATGTAAAATAATTCTATGTACATGCATGTATAAAAAAATTCTGAAGAAGACACACATGAAGAGAGACAAATGCTTCTAAACTTTAAACTTTACTGACTGGATTTAAGGACAACATGCATTTTGTCAGACCAGAGAACTTGTCTTAGGGTGCTAGGCTATAGAAACAAACAGAGGTTTGAAGACATTGCATATTAAGAATCCATTCAAAAAAAATTTGTTACACCCTAAAATTTTTGTTAAGAATTGTTTCAAATACAATGTGTTGAATAATTTCACATTTATTTTGCTGCAGAATTACATTTCATAGCAATCCAACATCTCACATATTGATCCAATAAACTTTAAAGACAGAGGTTTCTGGACAAAACTACATCCAGAGACAAAAGTGTTTAAAATTTTCATTTATACATGTACTAACGTACACTATAGAAACAGGTTTCTAATAATTATATAAGGTGTCCCACAAACACTAAAACATTGGTTGTTATTAATCTTTAATTGGGTATTCTATCCTTCACATCTCTCACCTTTACACTGCAGCAGCTGTTCTGTCTTTACGATCGCATAAGAGAATCCTGGGATACCCTGCAGACACTTGTTGACAGAACTGACCAGAAAGTCCACCTTAGCTCTCTCTAGATCAATAGGTACTGCTCCAAAACTGCTCATAGCATCCACAAAATATACACAATCTGAAACAGTTACAGTAAAACTCGGTTATAACGAAGTCACTGGGACCTATGAAATTACTTCACTATATCCGTAATTCGTTATATCCATATAAGAAATTTGTTAAATTTATATAACTGGGGATCCAAGATAACTTAGCTATATCCGTGAATTCGCAATATCCGTGTTCGTACTAAACGAGTTTTACTGTATATACAAATAATTTGCTTACCGGGTAGATATATTTCATAAGATATTTTGTATTGAAAAACTTTGTGCTGCTTGTAGTATTTTGTAAAAATTCTAAAACCATACAATAAAAAAAAACCTTTCTTACTTGGTAGATGTTTTTTAACCATCTGACCCACTTCTTCCACAGGGTTGATAACTCCTGAGCTAGTTTCACAGTGAACCACGGCTACCATGGTGAATGATGGGTCTTCTCTCAGAATCTGCTCTACTTTATTCACGTCCACCATACTGTTTTCTGCAAAACCCTCTAAACGGAATGGGATTCCTAATGTCTCACAAATTTTCCCCATCCTTTTTCCATATGCTCCATTTTCAAGAATTAAAGCCTGAAATTTTTTTTTTAAAAAAGTCTCTGATGAGAATGTAGCTCTACCTGTTTGAACGGTCTTGGCAAAAAATTCCCTTGTAATGATCACTTTTTAAATACCAGTATTTCATTATATTTGTAAGTACAGTAATATAACCAGACATTCATTTCTAGAGAGCAGATAATATTAGTGTGTGTGGTTTTTGTTGTTGTTTTTTGGTGTCTTTTTTAACATGCTGACTGTATAATCAGTAAATCTTTATGTAGGTATTTTGAAGATGGAGTCTAGGTTTCATTCTGATCAGACAGAAAAAGTTGCAAGCTATAATCTTTTGTCTTCCATTGTATTGTTTTCATTCTTTTTAAGCCAATATTAAGTCATTAATTCAATGAAGTCCAGTAACTACAGATTGACACAAACCTTTCCCTTTGGTTTAGGTAAGGCGGTGTGGAACACTGCCTCCACAGCGAAGGTACCACTGCCCTGTACCGGAACTGCCGTGAAGTCGTCCTCTGAGACTCCTGAAGTATAAAGTGTTTACTGGTACAAACATTTCCTCTTGTTTATAGGAGCATGGTATGTAAATGATGCCACAGAATAACCCTTATTTTACTGGACACAACAGTTAGTAAAAAAATGAAATATAAATATTCTAATTATAAATATGGATAATTCTTTAATCTCTATGTAGCAAGATAATTTTCTTTTCAGAAATTCTGACTCAGATTACATTCCATGTGTATGTTGTCTAGATCCTGAATAATTCTCTAAAATTCATATACCTTCCTACTAATAATCTTATTTTATCCCTTTCCTCTTGAAATTCTGTATTGATTAAAAAGTTACAGGAATTATCAAGTAATATTTTCATATTGATTTCAATCTTCACGTATCAATATACATGTACTTAAAGAAATTGCTTCTTTTAATGGTGAATCCCAATGTCTGATTATTATTTTTTCCTTTATAGATCTGTTAATTTAAACAAAGAGAAGAAATCAATCTTAAGTAACAGATGATCACAAAAGAGATAGGAAAAAGAACAAAGAAATCCATACCTAAGATGAATTTGAATGTACTTTAAAGAATATAGTTAAATCATTTTCATATACATGTATATTAAAGATAGCTGAATTTTCAGCCTTTTGGTTACCTGCTATTTGTACTAATTTGGACCGTAGGAACTTGACAGTGGAGATAAATTCTACGTCCCTGGAACCTAGATCTCGTAGAGCAGCCTGTCTGACGGTCAGAGACACAGAGAGGGGACCGGGGGTAAACAGCTTCTTCTCTTGTCCATGGGAGGAAACTAAAAAAAGAACATGATGATTTGTACTGTAGATTTAGATGAACTGTATTTAGATTTAGATGAAATGTAGATTCCTTATTTTATGTGAAGGTTCATTACATTGATGAGTGACTGAAAGATGTCATATGCAAGAATTTAAAATATGATCGAATCAGTGAGGAAACTTTTTAAATGCATTTAAGCAATATAAAAATAAAAAGCAAGTTTTTTCTTTTGATAAGTGGTACTTCCTGCAGAACAATGGGATATTTATTCCTAGTAAATTAGGAACCCACAGTACTTGCTGAGATAAATTAACTGTTTTTGATGAGAAAGAAATCTTTTGAAATCCCTTTATCATGTTTATGTCAGCCATACTAAACCATTAGGATTAGGATGATGAACTCTTACAGTTGAGATATACATGTATATATGTACGGTAAAACATGGTAAACCACTGGTTCTATAGAAATTGTTTGGATTAGACATTTTAAAATATTGAAATTATCACAAGGGATGTATACATCATATTAATGGCCCCCCCGCACTGTTTTTCCCAACCTTACTTATACTATAGGAAATGTTCATTGAAAGCCTGGTTGCCCCCCCCCCCCACTTTTAGTGATGTACTGAAAATGTAGTATTAGAATTGGTACTAAAAGTAGTTGACACTGAGAAAAAGTTTAATCCCCCCCCCCCCCCCCCACGAAAATAGGATTTTTGACTTTGAGCAACCCCTTTTTTTTTTTTTTTTGCTTGTCAACTGTTTCAGGTAAGTAAAAAAAATTTTTCTCTGGCTGGCCCCCCCACTTCCAAAAACACGATGCTATGCCACTGCTCTCTGACCGACTGCAGACAAGAGTAAGATGAGATTTCATCATACGACATCATGAGTATTCTCTAACATGTCTAAACTGATGTAAATATTTCCCTTTAAGTATATTAATTATTGTTTATTTAAAAACAAAAATTTCATAGCTTGGTTTCAAGGGGGTAACATCTTTCAAACATGCATAGGAATTTAAACTCGCAGCAGTAATCAAAGACTTTTAATTTAATATTCCCTGTTGATAAATGATACGAAAAGGATGGAATCTAAAAAGGGCATTCATTCTAAAACCATCTTTAAAAAGACTACACATCGTTTGAAATTATGTATTTCAAAAAATTATTTCATCAGTAAAAGAAGCAATGGTTTTTAAACTTATTTTTACGATATCATTTACAGAAATAGTATAAAATTTAATTAAAAGGCATAATTTCATGAACAAGTTAGCAAGTGACGAATGTATTCAATCTCACAATTTTAACACAGATAAGCTTCTGTAAGAAATCTATATCATAGAAATATTTCATCACTCTTTTTCAGCTTTTTGCAGCAATAAATATTGCAGTTTTGAGCATACATACATTTAATAGACTATAAATATTAGAGAATGTGAAAATATTCTTGCACTTTTTTTATTCAAATAAAACACGAGAATAGAGGGTAAAAGAAAGAAAAAAATCTCGAATACAGTGATGCTTTTATTACTGAAAATAGTAATAATCCCCTTTTATAATAATACTTCCCGAAAAAAGGAACTGCATGTGCCCAACCTGTTAAATTGTCTATACTGAAGATCCATTGAGTAGATACATTGACATATACATGCAATATGTCAAATAACATACAGTTCTGGAGATGTAAGGTGTGACAGTTGGACACACAGACAGACAGAAGCAGGGTAGATAAGCTCTCCTCTGTAGGCAACAAAATAGAATGGACCACACCTTTTTTTTACCATTGCTAATATACCTCCCCCCTTTTTTTCATTTTTTAAGGTGCCATACACTCCTTTATTCAGAACTTTGTGTGTTCCATAACTGCATTGATCTATGAAGATAAGCAAAATCAATATACTGAAATAAAACATGTAAAAGAATACTATAAATTCTTGTTTTTAAAATATCTTACATTTAGCAGAGGTGCTACTCAGCAGTCTAAAGGATGAGATTCTAAAAACGTCGATATCACGAACAAGGTACGGAATTCTTCTGAAGCAGCTCTGTACCACTGACATGTTGAAAATGTTGAAATCAATCTCTTGTCTTCTGATAGTCCTACATTTCACAGTTTCATAGATTATCAGACGACACGTGTTCTGTTGACAACAATAACAACGACGTGCAGATAAGAATTTCCGGATAAATGCCAGTATTTCATGAGTGAATAAAATTTTATTTCATCAAGTTATTAAACAAATCATTAGTACTCCAGGGACCTATATACTAGTTATTAAATAGGTTCCTGGTACTTTTAATAATACAAAAAAAAGTAAAAATATCAGTCAAATATATATTCCGGATTGTTGGTTTACTTCTTTAGATAGCAATCCAAATATCCGTTTTGAGTTGCATGACAAAGCTGGTGGAAAAGTAGAAAGTAAACCATGAGTTCTATAGGAACAGGAGTAAGTTTTGTATTTTTATGAAAATATATTTATTTTATTTTCCAAGAACGCATCCTCCGAAATGTTTATTATGTTCCTGTTATGTTTATGACAGGTAACTATGCAAATTGAACATGCCATGCTACACAATAGATAACTATATTCTGAAAAGGAAACATTGAATTAATAAGACTTATAATTAATAAAATTACTCTTTGCAAAATAATTGATTGAACAACAAATTAAAAGCTCAGCCATTATCCACTACACAATCTATTATGTACGGTGTGACCATTTTGGTGAGCGCAGTTGTACCATCAGAAATACACTTGTTACGTTGATCTGCCACTTCAAATGGTAACGAGATGTTTCGCGCCGATGCATGGTTGGTACCATGATGTTTCGCGCCGATTCTGTTTCGCGCTGAGATAGTTCGCCACGCGATGTTTCGCTCCCAGAACATAAATGTATGCTATTTATTTCGTTCGTTTTGCTAAAAAAAAATTATATTATAATATCTGTAAATATTGATGTAATTATCGAAATTTTGTAGAATATTAATGAACATTAAATTTGACTATCAAACTTCCTGGTGGCTTATTCTATACACATGTTCTCAATAACACAAATTATATGTTTTCAAGTTCACGCAGATAATTGCTGTACAACTTTATAATTGCTATAATGAAATAATTCTCACCTTTTGATCTCCAACTAATTATAATTAAATTGTTGAACACAAACGCTGAGCAAACGGGCACCATATTAACATTATTTTACGATCCATTACCTGTGGCACTGCGTATTATTAAAAGTCATGATTTTGAGCATACAACACATATTTTTATCTAAAATTTAATAAATGATCTTAAATTATTACAAAATAAATGAAATATTAAAAAAAGAGGGGAGATGTTTCTCACCGAAATCGGCGCGAATCATCCCGGCGCGAACCATCTCAGTGCGAAACAGAATCGGTGTGAAACATCCCGGATTCCTTCAAATTAACGAGGCCCAATCTAGTTGGAAATTACGAAAACGGAATGATAAAAAACAAGTCAAGGGTACTGTGACATGCCTGAGTCGACGCTGTGATGAAACGCATGTGCAGATCAAGTAGATCGGGCCTCGTTAAATTGTATGTCTTACGAAATTTGATTAAAAGTGTTAAAAATTGTTAACCATTTTTGATAACATGATCAAGCACCACTTTAGAATTCAATTTGTTTTATTTGCTGCTTGTCACTGAAACATGCCACACATTTAAATATGGACATTTTATAATGATTCATTGAAGGGTTGAATTCTTTACTTTTTTAAAAAATTTCAGTATGATTTGTCAGCATCACAGTTTTCACCAGATGGTCGAGTATTTCAAGTTGAATATGCACTCAAAGCTGTGGAAAATAGTGGGTAAGTACAATGAAATATCAGTATCTCAAAGTTGAGGGGACTTGGTCCCTTGGATAAAAATTCAGGATATCCTGGGGTTCAAGGTATCGGAAGTTGTCTTCAAATGTCGAATCAATAACTTAACGACTCCTGGATCTTGATTTTGATCACATGATTTATTTGCACTTCTATTGTGACATTGAAGACTATATCAATTTAGATTTATATTAAAAATGTTGCGTGCTTGTGGTTAAGCAACTGTGTCAAAATACACAATCACTGCACTTGAGAATTAGAAATTTTGTAGAAAAACTTTAAATAACAACTGTGAAATTGTCCAATATAATTATATTTAGGTTACTAGGTCAAAAAATGTGAAATAATGTTCTTATCTTAACAACAAAAAGAAACAAAAACTATGTTGAAAGTTTTTGAAATTAAGAGTATTTCTTTTATACTATAAAAAAAATTTAAAAACTCAAATTTATTATGGCAGAACTGCAGTTGGTATCAGAGGAAAAGATGGAGTGGTGTTTGGTGTAGAAAAACTTGTTACATCAAAGTTATATGAAGCTGGAGCAAACAAACGAATCTTCAACATTGACAGACATATAGGAATTGTAAGTACGATAGAAGAAATTAGAAAAAAGTGTAACTTAGTTGTCTCTCAGAAAGGTAATGATTTAAGAAAAACATTTAGACTTTATGCCCATTTTTAAAAATTTATTTTTATCAAGAGAGATTTAATACTGTAGATTCCTTATTTTTCACAGTACTTATTATTGCGAAATGACTCTTTAACGTCAAATTGGGAGAACAATAATTCACAAGTGGATGGTTGATCAGGAGATTTTACATTGATTTCAGCAACATAAAAATAAAAGCAAGTAATTTTATTCGCAAGTGGTTCTTCTTGCGAAATTACACAATGATTAATTCCTCAAGTTAATTTAGGAATCTACAGTACTTTATTGAATGTTTTGATTTGATTTTGATTCATTAAGAACACTTAAAAACAAAATACTGAAACAGTGATCTTTGAATGTCGAGGGAGGGGGGTATTCAGAACTGATTTTGATATTTATTAGTACAATCCCATCTACCTCTATTCTGTCTCTAGGCAACAGCTGGACTGATGGCTGACTCCAGAGCTATAGTGGAGACAGCCAGAGAAGAGGCCTCTAATTACAGATACAATTATGGATCTCCCATCCCACTCAAGGTATGTAGTCATATTAACTGTTATAGATCATGTAGGATCTCCCATCCTACTCTGGTTATGTATTATAGATAGGATCTCTCATCTTACTCATGGTTTGAATTATAGATACATGTAGGATCTTATCCTACCCACTCAATTGTGTGATCATTTCCCAATATGTAGATATAACAATAGATCCTCCATACTTCTGTTGGTAATTTTAAAAGTCATACCCCATTTATCAGATTTTTTGAAAGATATATGATATATCTTAGAGTCCCCTATTCCAATTGATATGTGTGGTCAAATCATTGCATATCTAATGAATTTCTTTTTGAGTGATATGCTAAAATTTTGGAAAACCTAAGCATGGTTAACATTTTGCAAAAAATGCAGTCTGGCACACAGTATACATGCATATGACAAACGTGATTAAAATTCACAATCCAAGTGAGTCTACTTATGAACACAATGGTTTTTTCCTGCAGCATTTAACAGACCGTGTGGCGGGGTATGTCCATGCCCACACCCTGTATAGCAGTGTCCGTCCCTTCGGTGTCAGTCTCATTGTGGGCAGCTACACTCCAGAAGACGGGCCACAGATGTACTTGATAGATCCTTCAGGAATCTCATGGGTAAAGCTCTTATATCAAAGGAAAATTCTAAATTTATGCATCAATTAAGCTTGAAAATTTGACTTGTTCTGATTTTTATATATATACTGTGATGAAGCTCTGTCTGATTTCAGGGATATCATGGATGTGCAACCGGAAAAGCTAAACAGGCAGCCAAAACAGAAATAGAAAAATTAAAGGTGAAAGACTTAAGTTAATTTGATGATAGCTTGAATTGGAGTAGAATTTAGTTTCTCTCAAGAATTTAATCTTTGTTTATACAATTTTTTTCTGGAATAATTGAATTCAAGAAAAATTAAATCCAGAGTGCCTAGATTAATGATTATCATAACAGAAAATTGTTTAAATTTTAACAACGTCAATATTATTTCTCAAATAACAGTTATCTTTATATTTTAACTAGAATAAATCATGTTTTACTATTACAGATGAAAGACATGCCTATAACTGACTTAGTGAAAGAAGTTGCTAAAATGTGAGTGTGTAAATAATTGAAGGTGTGAACCCAAAAACTGCTTATAAAACTTACTCATATATTTTCAGATACAGTTAACAATAATCTAGAGTTTTCAAATTTTCCTATCTTATAAAAAGTTGAGAGTCTATTAAATTATAGTGTTTATGTGAAAAGTTGTGTTTCAGGGTAATTTACACGTTTGTGTAGTATTTATATGTGAGAAGAAATCTGAGATGTAAACATCCCTTAGATACAACAGTCTATCTACACATTCTATTCTGCATTAATGTTATCATTGAAATAATCTGTATGCATATTTCTGATTCAGTAAAATCACTATAAAACAAGGAGTCAATATCTACATTAATTCATCTTTTTTACAGAATTTATATTGTGCATGACGAAGTAAAAGACAAGAACTTTGAGTTAGAACTAAGCTGGGTTGGAGATGGTAAAGAACTTGATAATCAACTATCTTTGATTTTATAATTAAGTAAAGTAGAATAGTATTTATTATGACTTTCAATGCACTTGCTTTTACAGTTACTGGAGGAAAACATGAACTGGTCCCACAGAATGTCTTTGCTGAGGCAGAGAAGTTTGCTAAGGTAGGGTTCAGTAATATTGTTGATGTAATGAGTTTTACAGATCATCATTTGTCAACCTACTATCATGTTATTAATTATGAACAAAAGTAGATTAATAATTTCATTGTGATTGTAATTTGATAGTCTGAAAAAATAGTTTATTACCTACAACCTGTGTTGCATACTTCACAATACAGCTGATATTTATTCCAACAAAGGTTATAAAAATATAACTTGGGCAGCTATGTTTTAAAAGATTTATTTCTTAATTGCTAACTAAAACTGATTTTACTAGTGAATCAGTGATGAAATGCAGGAGAAAGGAAATTGATCATTTGCAATTAAAATGTCATTTCACAAAAAATTAAAAGAATCACATGCAAATAGAATATACATGTACATATCATTGAAACTCATTCAGAAAATTTTGATTTCTCTGGAAACAACTTTTAGCACCATTTCCTGAT